GGCATGTGGCTTGTTTTTATACAGGCCACAAGCTAAAAACTATTTTAACATTTTTAAAGTGTGGCAGAAAAAAACAAAGATTATACAACAGAGACTGCATAAGGCCCATAGAGCCTAAAATATTTACTTTACAGGAAAAGGCTGCTGACCCCTAGACTGGGTGAACCAGGAGAGAAAGAAGGGCAACAGAGTTGGAGGGTACGGCAAGGGAGTGACTTAACCAACCCAGGAAATCACAGCTGGGCCCAAAAGGAAGGGCAGAGGAGGGTGATTGATAGAGTAGGGTCAAAAGACTGCACTTCCTAGTCCTGTGTGCTGTCCAAAATTCCTATTAGATGTCCTTGGAGGCACCGAGATACAATGATATCTAGGACAGGAGATATCCTGCTCCACCCAGAGCAACATTTCCTGATATAATGATCACAGGAAGGTAACGATGAGGTGCTCCCAAGAATTTAAAGATTAGATTAACCTCTTGGAAAGTCTGCTGATGTCCATGTGCAGGGCACTGTGTTTGGTACAAGACACAAGATAAAACTGGAGGCAAAGAACGTATACGGGACTCAAGGGAACACTTCCTGGTCTCTTTCACCTGCCTCCTTAATGTTGTGTTCCCTAAAATTCTCACTTACATCTGCTTCTCTTCTTGCTTGACCTCCTCTCTCTAGATCTCATCCAATCCCACAGCCTCATTGCTACCATATTCTCCAGTAACTCCTCAGTCCTCTCCAGCTCCAATCTCTCCTCCAAGAGTCACACTATGCCCAGCTACCTACTGGAAACCTTCATCTGCCTGGGTATTCTCTATTCCATGCTATCCAGGAGTTATCTGCAATGATGGAAATGCTCTCCACGTGTACTTACCAATATGGTAGCCGTGAGCCTCACATGGCTATTTAAACTTAATTAAAATTAGATAAGATTAAAAATTCAGTTCCTTACAGTTTTACTAGCCACATTTCCAGTGCTCAATATCCACATGTGGCTAGTAGCTACTGTTCTAGACAGCACAGCTCTAGCCAACTCAAGCAGTCTCAAACTGAACTCACTTTCCTCCCCAACGATCCCTATTCCTGTATTTCCTACCTTGAAGATTATCACCATGCCTCTCTCACATGAAAAAAACTGTCTGGTCATGAGACTCTTCCCTCTCCCTCACAGCCCCTCTTCATGTAATGGTGCCCAAACCTTGTCGAGTCTACCTCAGAAATCTACTGAATCTAGCCTCTCCTCTGGATCCCACTGCCAACGTTCCACAGACCCTTCTGATTTCTGGTTTGAGCTACTGCACGGAACTTCTTAAAGTCTTTTCCTGAGGCTTTCCTACTCCAAACATTCTTCTACATTATCACCAGCTGTTTCTTAAGAACAAATCTAACCACTCCATTGCCACCTCCTTTAAAATTCCTGTTGGTTCCAGCATTCATCCTTATACCACTAGCATTTAGCATAGTCTTGGACCGTATGTACTCAGTGTTTGATGAATAAATGAATTTTACAGGCAGAAAAGCAGAGATATCCTCTTGCCTAAGAGAGAACTGTCTGCCTATTTAAAGTGCAGATGGTCATGCAGAGCAGAAGCCAGCCTCCTCCAGGCAAATACCAGATGCCTAACTTCGCCCTCGTGTTGATACAAAAGCACATCATCTGATGTTCCAGCAGAGGCCACAGCTGCAGCTCCCACTGGGGTGAATTTAGACTCAGACCGTGTCCTAACTGGAATTCCATTTTCCTTGCCCTTTGCTTTTCTGGGGCCCAGATCCAATGGTGTTTACCACCCCCTAACACCCTTGCAGGTAAAGTACGAAAGAACTCACTAATTTTCATGACACTGTAACACGCAATCTCACTGTACTTTTTCAAATGGCCATATCCCACTATTTTCTGCTACCTAAGTGATTCAGGTCTTGACTAAAAACTCAGAATGAGGAAATAAATCTATTTAGCAAGTGTTGATTATGTTCTCTGAGCATGTACCAGCTGCTGTGGCAGAACACAAGTAGAGTTTAAAGCACAAGATATAACACCCATGACACAACTACCCTTTTCTTCTCCATACTCCACCTCCTGCATCGCCCAGAGCGTCTTCCATGCAGAGGATTTACAGCCTTATTGATCACGATCCTCAATTCCAATCACCTTCACCTCCACCCATTTCCAATCACGCCTAGAATTAGGCGATCTCTAAAATATTTCTTCAGTCTTCTTACTCCTACCCCCACTATACCTACTTGAACCTCATTGGAAAACTAATCCTTTGATATCTCCCAGTTCTCTAAGTATAATGGTCACCTCGTAGTCTCACTTCCTTCCCTACACAGCCCAGACACCAGAACACATCGATTCAACCACAGGCACCACCATCTCCCTCAACTCCCTTGCTCCTTTGAGCAGAACCTCAACCACGGATAAATCCATCCATTCATTCATCTACTGTATAAATACTGAACGCATACTATACGTCCAACACTAGTTTCAGCTTCTGCTCCCAGTGTTGAATGCTACCCAGGACACAATCACATATCTCAGTCTCTCATAAATTTAAATATCCCTTATCTCAGGTGAGGCCTCAACACTCAGCAATTCTTAGCGAACCCTCCCTCCACGCCCCTCAAGGAGCATTTTTCCACTCCTCTCAAGCCCATTCCTGCTTATGATTCATCTTTCTCAGAAGGCACTGCTTCCTGCTTCATGGAGAAGAGAGGCTTTGGAGCATGAACGACCTCATCTGACTGCATCTACGCACGCATGCCTCTGGGCATTTGTACCTCCTTCTGCCATTTTAGACGAACACTTGCCTCTGCTCCTCTCCACGACTGTTCACCTACCTGTGCTCCGGATCCCCTCTCCCACTGAAGGAACTTGGCTACGTCAGTTATCACTCTCCTTTACTTTAGAATTTTTCAGTTCCAGGGGCTCCTTCCCAAAAAGCTTGTCTTTCCCTCCTATCCTAAATTTAAAAAAACAAAGAAAACTCTCCTTTGATTTTTATACCCACACGAGCTTGCTTCTGGGCGTGGCACCGACAGTAGTAACTGTGTACCTCGCACTAACATCCTCAGCTCCACAGGCCCAGCCTCAGAATGGGACCAGAACACCTGTCTGGTGACTTGACTCTTTCTCGCAGAGAGAGGGGCTTTAAGTCACTGCGTGTTTGCCTTTGCGATTTTGTTCCCTTTTGCTGAGTATACACGGCTGACAACTCACTCTGATTGACACATGCTCACATGCAGGCAAACTTGCAGGCCTATACACAGGCACTTTTAACTTTTTGTTTTGAAATTATTTCAAACATACAGAAAAATTACAAGAATAGTACAAAGAATTCCTGTATTTTTACCTTCATTCACTAGTTTTTAACATTTTACAACATGCTTTATCTTTCTCTCTCCACATACATTTGTAGTTTTTCTGAACCATCTGAGAGTAGATTACATACACAACGGTTAAGGTTTGGCTTCCCATGTAGGTTTTCCTAAAGGTGCCAATTACTGGACATGTCTATGCAAATTCTGGTCTCAGTGACATCTACCTATCATACTAATTTAGGCAGTTCATATTTCAATTGTATGTAGGTCTAACGAGCTTAAGGTTAGAAATGGACCCATGCTCTGAACCCTGATGAAACAGTTTTTGAGGAGGAACCCCTCTCCCCTGCCCTCCACTGGTGGGGACAATGGGGCTGGCAACAACCCAAAGCAGGCTATATGTGATTTCCAGCACCCTGAAGCACCTTCTGAAAACCTTTCCAACTCCAGACACACATCGCTGGCTGGCTCAGGGTGTCCACAGTCTACACCAGCAGCAGACTGCAACTATTCCCCATAATGGAAGAATTCCCGGTTGAGCGTGGGCAGTCAGCACACCTTGCCTAAGTCCTTGCCCCTGTGTACACACAGCTCATGGTCCCTCAGTTAGGTTAGGGAAGTCCTTGGGTCGGCTTCCCCAACAGCTGAGGTCAAACTTGCCTACGTAGCCTAGAAGTAAAAGTAGTGATGACTTGTCCTGCTGGGACTCTGAGGATCAACGAATGAGCAACTGCAAATGCTTGGCTGCTTTTCCTTTACACAAATAAAGTTGCAAAAGTCAAAAACACTGAAAACCTGAGGAAACATAAAACGTCTCATAGATCGTGGAGATCCCTGAAGGCCGAAGGCGGGTCTTAGGCAATTTTTTAACTCTCTAGCACCAGTCCTCCATCCAGCAAGCGCTGCACCCACCTCCCACGTGGGAGGGAGGAATCAGAGAAGGCATACAGCAGCACACATCCAGGGTCAAGGCACTTCCAGGCTGGCGAGAGGCAAGACATGCAGTCATCACCTACAACGTGTGACGTGTGCTCTGGAGGCGGCCAGGGTGGTTAAGAGAGCAAGGAACTGAGGAAAAAGAATGGGGGGGGGGGGCCCCTTTAACAGCAGCCTAGTTTTGCCAGGATGGAATCTGGTTTCCAGCAGAAGAAAAACAACACGTGTGGAGGCTCTGAATTAGGAGGGAGCAGCACTTCCAAAAACCTGAAGCGAGCTAGTGTGGCCAGAGCACATATCACATGAGAGAAAAGCTAAAGATGGACCAGTGCCTGATTGGGCAGAGATCTGTAAGCCATATTAGGCTGGATTTTTGTTTTTAATAAATATCCTAATAATAATAGGAAGCTACTGAAGGATTTTAAGGGAATGAAATGAAAAAAAATTTTTGCAAGATCTTTTGAATGCGCATCAAGAATGCAGCAACAGTGGACACAGGGAGCCCCATTATGGTAGTACAGACAAGCAATCCTGGCTGCCTAGACGGATGATGCTGTGGACACATCAGAAATACCAGGAAAACATTCAGTGGCCAGGATTTGGTGACTGGATGAGGGGGCTGAAGGAGAGGGAAGAATCAGACTTGGAAATTTTGGGCTTCAACAACTAAGAGGATGACGTGATGCTGCCATGTATCGAGATGGGTTTTTACCAAATGTTTAACTTTCTGAAAAGATGTAAAATCAGAATGTGGACTAAAACAGCATTAAGTTTTTAATACTTAAGAAAAACTACAAAGTTAGTTCATCATTTTATAATTTCAAAGTCTATTCCTTGACCAACTATAGTCTTCCTACAATTTCTCACTGTCTGAGCTTAATAAAAATTGCCATCAATTTTATACTGTCACTTTAAATCAGTTTCCTACCGCCCTTAGGATAAACACAACTGTAAAGATGGCCTGCAAAGCTTGGCCTCACACTCTGTCCTTTGGCTAAGCCTGCATTCATTTAGTTCTTGGAACACGCTACGCTCCCCTGCTGCCTTTTGATCTTTACACATCTTTACCTTTGCTAACAGCAACTCTACACCTAGCTAATGTCTACGTGTTTCCTGGATTTCAATTCAACCATCACTTCCACCTGAGATTAGGCCCCACTATAGGCTCTTATAGGAAATCATACTTCCTCTCCAGGGAACTTATAGTTTGTAATGTCTATATAGAGATATATATATAGAAGAATATGCACCCCGTGAGGGCACAGAGCATATCTGTTTTGTTCTATCACTGAATCCCTAAAAACCTAAAACCTGCCACAGCAGGCATTCCAATTTCGGTTGAATGATGAATGAATACGGTAGCAAGGCAAACTGAAGGCTAAATTTAGATTTAATCCCCATTCTGTTCACTGGCAATCCTAGATCAGGCTACAGACGTAGAGCAATTTTTATCATCTCTAAAACAGGATAGAACATAAACATAGAAACTGTGTAAAAGCAGTCTGGCAAGGGTTTTTGTTTTTAGTAAGCTAAACGCTAAATAACTTCACTTTGCTGAAGATAGAAAGCAAATAAGATACTCTTCATAATCATACTAAGGAACTAAAATAATCATTAAAACTGTGAAAATAAATGCAGATCACCTAAAATTCAGTATTTATGACACAAGTATATCCTCAACTATTTCACAATTTTAGCTCCACTAAAATAGTCTGATTTTTTTTAAAAAATCAATACTGCTTAGTAAAATTTCTGAATTCTTGTTTTAAAGTGTTACTGTTTTATTTTTTCTTTTGTTGAATACACATCTGTTTTACTGGCAGTCCAGATAAACAAGTATATAAAGGAAATATTTAAATTTTTTGGCAGATATAGAGATAAACTGTGCAGATTAAAATGCCTCAATTTAACCTGAAGAAATGGTTTTGAATCATACAAATTTTTAAGAAGAAAAATAAAGACTGTCCAAAGGGATTCTCCTAGCTTATAACACGTTTCCAGAGTAACTCTCAAAAAAAAAATTCAAAAATACTCATTGACTACTTTAAAAATATGTCAATACCATATGGCTTTATGAAATAACTTCTAAAATTTATATTTTTTTATTTAAAAAGGATTCCAAGTTTTAAATAAACTGCTAGCAATATCATTTTTTTCAAAGTGCAAATCTCTGAGGGTGGGACACATACTTTTTCAACAAATAATGATTTTTACAAATTTTTAACACAAAAAAAATCACTTAAAATATTTTTAAGGGGGAAAAGAGTCTTCACCAAGTCATCTTTAAATAGACTGCAGTAGATGACACTGTTCCATTTTTTTCTTTTTATACCATGAGAATTCTCAATGAGATGCTTTGGCAGTTTTAAGACATGTTGTGGTCTCTACCAAGAGACACTGACATTAATGATGTCCGTGGTGATGGCAATTGCCTTGATGGCTCAGTCTGAATAGAGACATTACTGGGCTGGTTCTGCAAATCAGAGGCAAAGGTGCTCTCCTCTCTCACATCAAGAGTCTGTTCAACTGAAGCTGCCTGGGATGGAATATTATCTACAATTTTGTTGGCACTGTTCAAGTTGTTATTAAGTGTGCTAATATCACACTCCTTGTCCAGGACACCAAATTCATCTTCTATTGTAACTACATCTTTAGTTTCAAATGGTTCCAAGGAAGGAGGCAAAAACTCATTTCGTAGAGAGTCTTGAGGACCACTACTGTTACGTACTACAGCCTCCTTCACTTCGAAATCCTTATCACTATCACTGTCAATGGTAATTACAACCGGGGACCGTGATGCATTATCTCCATGGTGTTTCTTATGCTTCTTCTTATGTTTCTTCTTTTTCTTTTTATGATGTCTCATTGTATCGGTAGCTTTCCCTTCATAAACTATCTCCACACTTAGGCTTCGGGTCCTCCTTTTCCTCCTCTTGTGTTTTGTCTCTCTATCTGATGATCGGCTATCTGAAAAGCTGTCACTCTCATTTTTGTAGTTTCCATCCAATTTTGATGAAGATTTTTGGTAATGGCCTTCCTTTACTTTAGAAGTAAATTCACGAGATGGTTGAGCCACTTCCTTAGTACCCTCCAGATGTCGCGTTTTGTATTTTCGTTTCCCTCCAGGCTTTTCATTTCTGCCCCGGTCAGGCCCTGTAGATGCAGTCTTTGATCTACCACTAGACAGGCTCCTTGACCTGTGCCTTTCGTAGTAGTAATATTTCCTTTCACTGTGATTATTTTTCTTCCTAGCATTTGTTCTTTCCGAAAAGGACTGCATTCTAAATTCTGGACTTGAAGATTGTCTGGAATAATGAGCTCTGGACAGAGTCCTCCTCCTGTAAGATGATTCGTAGCCATCCCTGTCCTTGTTCCTACTGTAGTAAGTATACTCCCACTTGTATCTGCTCCCATAATTATTTCTTAAATAATAACGATCTCTATTTCTGCTCCGTGATCTTCTTTTACCATGATCACTGCTGCGAGATCTTGACCTGCTTGTGCTTTCACTACTTAGAGACAGAGTTTGGCTTTTTCTCGACCAACTGCTATCTCTAGTTCTTGATCTCTTTTTGTCTCTTCTACCTCTGGGTCTGCTACTCTCCCTGCTTCTGGATCGTCTGCTTTTCATTCTTTTCTTCCCATGATGCTTCCTACGATTCTTCTGATCATGCCCACTTCTACTCTGGGAACGTGAATCTGAACTTCTCGATCTTCCTCTCCTTCTGTGTCTATGGTTATACGGGGAATATACTCTGTCTCCTCTGATAGATGAGCTCAGGTCTCTGGGAGAGGACAATGATGTAGACCGTTTCTCTTCCTTCTTTGATTTGACTCTTGTACCAGAATCACAATGACCTTTATTTATTTGCTCCTCCTTCGCAAGGACAGAGCGTGGAGATGAACATCTACTGACATCACTATCACCAGAACTGTAAGACTGCTCCTGTTCTTGTGTCTTCACTGTCTCCATTTTCTCATAAGAGCCTAACTCCTCAGAATCAGAGGACAGTTCAACAAGTTCTGGGGTCCTCTCAGCTAGTGGTTTAACAAACCCAACAATGACACAATTATCTGAAGAGGAATCGCTATCATTATTTAGGTCCTCATTGGTTTGTACTCCTTGTATCTGAGATGTGGCTCTTCCTGTTACAAGTTCTTCATCGGAACTGTCAGAAGTATTTAAAAGGGAAGAGATGGCAGCGTGCACCTGCTCTGAGCTTGAGTAAGATGGCCCTGGAGTTTCATCATCCCATGGTGCATGACTGACAGTGGCTACATTGATATCCAGCTCGTGGGTCTCAGCTTCATCAGGAGATATTGTTATGACTGAAGAATCAGAATGGCTACCTTCTTCATATGAAGGAGCAGGGCAATCATAATTCGCATGCTGGTCAAAGGCTGCCATGTTAAAAGGAGATCGAGCAAAACTGATAAATTCATGTATAAAATGCTCAGTCCGATTAAGTAAAAATGGCCTTAAATCAGACACAAATGCCTGACTCTCCAAGTCATAGCGAGTAACATTACTCATGATGATGTGCTGGACAATGTTCACTAAAGATCCATGAGCTCCAAAAAGAACCGTAAGTTCGCGTTTCAACCAAGGAACTAATCTGTGAAGGCAGGCCGGATTCCTACGGAAAAATTCCGCCGAAATATCCCTGTAGCGACCGCCATCTTCAATATTTCTAACGCGAGCACCAGCACGGTAGAGAGTCCGCCTAAAGTTAATAATATCCTGTTCTTGAATTTTCCGCAAAGATCTTTCATCTGCAGTAGCTGGCCTCCTTATTGCAAACTGTCTCACAAATTGAGGAATTTCACCATCTCTAGGTCTTGTGGAAATGCCCAACCCTTCAAACAGTACTCCACTGTCGGGGGGGGTTGTTGTTCTTCTACTCATGGTACCACTAGGTGAGTACACAGAAGCACCTCGTTCCCGTGTCATAGTTGTACGATAGCGGAATCGTGGAACATCGGGGGTGGCAAAAGAACCATTATATGAAGGCCTTAGGACGTACTCCTTGAAGTCATCTTCTGCCCTCACAGAATGGAAAATAGAATCAAAGGGCTGTTTACATAGTGGACATTCAGCTTTGTTCTTTGACCACTCCTGTACACAGCGAAAACAGAACTTATGTAAACAGCGATCTAAGTACGACACATTATCAAATCTATCCAAGCATATAGGACACTTAGAATCAGGAGATGCATCAGCTGGGACTGTCTGTTGCAATTTGCTAGTGCCAGCTTTAGGCGAAAAGTTGTCCATTTTAAACTCCTTAGTGGCTGATGCCATTATCTGTAAAAGGGAAAAAAATACATCAGTAACCTGATAAAAGAGGAATGACTAAATCTGAAAAACATGCAAACCATGACTTGCTTTCAGTCCCCTTCCCTTTTCTTTTCCCACAAGGATCTCCAGAGTCTTAAAGATTAGTTTTGTTTTCTTTAAATTTATCACTTTATATTGGCCCATAACTTAACTTACACCGGCCCAAAATAAATTTGCCAGAGCTGAAATCGAGTATGCATTACATTTTGGCCTTATCTTATAAAATCTCTCCTTAGCTGTATTCTATACTAATCATTTTGTATATACTAAATATTAGTTTCTTCCTTAATGTTTTCCTGGGCCTATTACTCATCCTTCTCCACCTTCTCTATGACAGCAAATTCCATCACTAGTCAACTACTGTCAAGTTGGTCAAATAACAGAACTGTAATTTTCTTTTTTTTTTCCCCCAAAGATTGGCACCTAGGCTAACAACTGTTGCCAATCTTTTTTTTTTTTTCTGCTTTATTTCACAAACCTCCCCCCGCCCGGTACATAGTTGTATATCTTAGTTCCACGTCCTTCTGGTTGTGGGAGGTGGGACACCACCTCAACGTGGCCTGATGAGTGGTGCCATGTCCGCGCCCAGGATCCGAACCGTGGGCCGCCGCAGTGGAGCGCGCGAACTTAACCATTTGGCCACAGAGCCGGCCCCAGAACTGTAATTTTCTAAACAGTACACTCACTGGCCCTACCAAACTCTAACAAAAACAAACAAAACCCACAACAAAAATCTACAGTTATGAAATAGAAGTATTTCACCATGATTTCTAATTAAACTTGCTCATCTTGGGCATCTTAGCTTTCTCAGAGCCATAACTTAAAACAGGGAATTCACTAATGCTAAACAAGTCTCTTCAGGGTGTCCACAGATTTCTAGTCTTCTATTTTCTAGAGTGGAAACGCAAAAATCACCACTGTCCTTAAGCAACATAGTAAAATTATAAATATACTAATTGCTTTTTTGTTAATATATTTAAACTCTGAAACCTTAATACTGCATAAATTTCTCAGCATTTCCCTCTACTTCTAATATTTTTTATTCTCCTACTTAGCAAAAATAAAATAAAATAAAAACCTTTAGGATAAGAAAGAGTGGGCAAGCATTAGGGGAAGGAGTGAGAGTGGAGAAGGAACTGGAGAGGCTATCAGAAGACCTGGATTGAGGACCAGTTTCACCTAAAACTAGCTGTAAACTGGAGAAACCCACATTAACTCTGCACTTTGGGGTGCCGCTCTATACAGTAAAGGGATTATTAGACTTTGAAAAAAGACTGGTGAATTTGGAGTTAATACATCCTACCTTAACTTGCTTCTTTGGAATATAGAATTTTAGTGTTTACTAAACATTTCCAGTTCTCATAAAAATTACAACCCAAAATGAATTTATTAAAGGAAATTATTAGGTAGTAAACTTGAAATTCAAATAAAATAAAGTCTCAACTAAACATGATTTTTAAAAAATGGAATCTTAGTCTTCCCTTCCCTAGTTTCATAAGCCTATTAACCACTCCGACAGCACAAGTCTAAAGAATGACCAGTAATGTCATCCATAGTAGGTAAAAAGAACAAATTAATTGGAGTTCCGTTTTGTACTTCTACACAGGAATATCTTTAGCTACAAAGAATGATAACAGAAACATCAAACAATGGCAATGAATGTAAATCATCAAATTTAGTTCTTCAAAAGCATCACTAAATACTAAAATTAAAATATTTGCTAAGATACAAATAAAGTAGAATTACCATATGACCCAATTCCATACCTAGCTTTCGAAAAGAAATGAAAACATATGTCCACACAAAAACTTGTAAGTTAATAGTCATAGCAATACTTGTCATAATAGCTCAAAAGTGGAAATAACCCAAATGTCCATCAGCTGATGAACGGATAAATAAAATATGGTATACCCATACAATAAAATATTTAGCAGTAAAAAGGAATGAAGTACTGCTTCACGCTACGACACAGATGAATGTTTTCATTATGCTAAATGAAAAAAAATCAATCACAAAAGACCACATGTTCTATGATGTCATTCATACGAAATGTCCAGAAGAGAGAAATCTGTAGATGGAAAGTAGACTGGTGGTTGCCGGGAGAGAGGGGGAGGGATTATAAGGTTTCTTTCTAGGATGATGAAAATGTTCAATTCGATTATAGTTGCACAACTCTATAAATATACTAAAGACCACTACATTATATACTTTAAACAGGTGAACTTTATGGATGGAATGTAAATTACATCTCAACAAATTAAGGTATAAAACAGGGATGGCTAGGAAACAGGTTAAGATTTGCAGGTTAGTTGGAGGGGTTCTGGGTTTAGATAGCAAAAGTGAACCTGATGGTAGATTTCAAGCTTCAGGTGCTAGAAACAGCATGGAACAAAGGTTTCACAACCCCAGCACTCTAGCAATCAGGACTCCAAATTTATTTCCCCATAGAGAAGATTAACCAGTTCTTCTGATCCCATTTCCTTAACTGGCTCCCAAATTCTAAATAGTTTACCACCTTTAGGATAAATGATCAAGCCAAACCTTCCTTTCCCCAAATCTTCAAATCTGTTGGCTTTAACAAGACTAAGAACCCTTTGTGTCACATTTTGGGGGAATTTCAGATAATCAACAAGCATACACATGTAGGGAAAATGGATGGGGGGAGGGAGCAGATAAAGAATCAGGAGGCTGGAATCTAAATTGGACCAGAGACTGGACATTTAAAAAACTGCATAGCGATATAAACAAAAGTAGGAATGCTCTGCAGAATTAAGTATCCTATAAAGCCAAACTTTCTATAAAAGTCACCCTCTATGACGTTCCTTAAATTATCACTGCACACAACATTTAATCACCAGCTGACTACATTTGGGGGAGTAGTGTTAATTCTAATACAGAGCCAGGGCTGGGAACGAAAACCACTTATTAGTGGCGTGATCTGGATGAAGTTAATTTCTCAAAACCTTCTATTTCCTCAATTCTAAAATAGGTTACGTAACAGTACCTACCTGAAAAGGTGGTTGTGTGAAAGGACATAGTCCACGTAAACATTTAGCATAGCGTTTGGTGCACAGAACTTAATACTGTTTCCCTATGTTATGTGAAAATGAAGTTAATTTTGGTCTTTTCCATCATCCAGAACTGATTATAAAGGCCCAGAAAGATGACAGTCCACAACAACTAAATAATCTTCATACTTAATATAACTGCTATCTCTAATATATCTAGGTAAAGTTGCTAAAAAGGGTTCACAGGTGGATGAACACCCCCAAGCATTAAAAGTAATCTGGGTCTGACCTTAAAGAAATCACTATAGCTCCCTGAACTGCAATTTAATCACCAGTTCCAAAAGATCACATGGAAAATATCGAATCTACTGACCAGACCCTCTAAAATTTAATTCCAATTCCAGCAATTAAGACAACTGCTTGGGAACCAACCCCCTCTAAAGCCACTCATTCCAGATAAGCACGACTGTTCTGGCTCACTATACAGCTTTAGACGTCACTCGACTAAAAACAAAATTAAAAAACCCAACTCTCATCACTATTAACTTAAATCTCGAGTAGCTCTTTTATCTTAATCTTGAAAATTACCTACCAAAAATCCTTTTCACTCTTCCTCTTAAATCACTATCTGCCTCATCTCAGTACGGCCCTCTTCCAGGCCACGAATCAGCAGCCCACGAGGACAGCTGCGCGGACTCGAGGGACGAAGGAGGCACAGGCAGGAGAGCCCAGCCCACAACGTGTGACACTGCACAGACACCTCCAAGAGTCGCGGCGACAGTCGCCTCCTTTGGCTGAGAACTGCCACCGGCCAGGATCTACGGGGAGCACCACGTGCATTACGTAATCACAGCGAACTACAATACTGTTGTTCCCATTCTGCAGACCGGCTCAGCGAGATCAGTGGACCTGTCCAAGGTCACGGCTCGGACAGTGGCGATGCCACGATTCCGAGGGGAAGGTTTCGTGTTGGGTCTCTCCCCGGAGACCAAGCTCCTTCCAGTACCAGGCCGGGCTCGCGCCCCTCGGAGCGCTCCCTGGACACGCAGCCCTCCCGCACCCGCCGCACAAATCCACAGGTGCGCACCGGAGTCGCCCGCCCGCCGCGCGCCCGGCCCCTGCCCGCCGCGGCCCGCTCGGCGCCCGGCCCAGACCGCAGCTCCCGCGGCCCCGCGCCCCGCAGCAGGGGGAGCTCCGGCCCGCCCGGCCCCGTCGACCCCGCGCCCCATTGTTCCGGATCTCGCTCACCTCGGAGGATGCGGGCGCAGGCCCGGCTGGGGCGCCCGTGGCAAGCTCCCGGCGGCCCAGAAAGCTCGGTCGGTGGCGGCAGGACCCGCGGAGGCGTACCCGGCGACTTCTCCGCCGGCCCTCGGCAGCGGGCGCGGGCGGGGGCGCTTCGCCCTCCTCGCGAGACAGCGGAGACCCCGGCGGCTGCTGCGACCCCTGTGACGTAAAACGCTCATCACCAATGGCAGCTTGGGGGCGGCGGCGGAAAGCGAAACCCGCTCCGGCTCTGGCGCCGCCGCCGCCGCCGCGTCAAAACACAGCCCGGGCCTGCGTGGCGCATGCGCGGAGCGAGGGCGCCCGACCCCGCCCCCCCGAGGGCGGGCCTGCGCGCGGTCGGCCGGAGCCCAGCCCTTCCCCCACCGCCCCCGGGGTTCCTGGCGTGAGAGCTACGAGACCCCCGGGGCAGAAGTCACCAGCCTCGCCAGGACTCGTTATTATTAAACGCTGAGGGGGGAAGACAGGGGCACTAGCTTAATGTTTGCCCCTTACTTACCAAGAAAGCGCGGTAACTAGCTCGGTCTCGTTTAAACCTCACCAAACTCTGCGAAAACTTACTAAAATTGTGTCTAGGGTGTAGAAAAAGGAACTGGGTGACACGGACGTGAGGTGACTCTACCTCCGGTTGCACAGCGAGGACATAACAGCACGAGGATTCGAATGGAATCCAAAGCCAGAGCCCACCCCGCATCCTCGACAGCCTCCAGAGAGTCTGCTCCAAACGTGGGATAAACGGGGACCACCCGAGAGAGCGGCCGCGTGAACTCTCACCAAACCGAGCGGTTTCTCTGCGAGGGCTGCCTCTCCCCTTCCCGCTCCCCGCAATCGGGAGGGAAACCGCGCTCAGACGCCCTCTGAGCTGCGGAGACACAACACCCGAGCCCGAGGCGGCCGGTTGCCCCGTTCCACGCTCGGGCCTCCTCGCGAGCGTCCCTCCGTTCCAGAGCGGAACCTGCGACATCCCCCCGCGCCAAACCGCCGTCCGCAGGCTCTCCTCGGCGGGGCTCTAGGACAGCACAACCGCCCGCAGAGCCTGGCCGACTGGCAGGCACACCGTGCCGAGGGGCCCTTCTCAGACCGACCCTTCACAGCCAAGGCTGGCGCGTCCTCGGACTCCAGCGCCCTGAGGAAGGCTCCCGATCGGGGCTCCCCACGACTCGGTACTGTTACACGGACGCGGGTGTGTTCGCGTTCCCTTGTCAAAGACGAACGTGCGGACGTCTGTTTATGTTGTGTGCGATCAGATGCGGGGGATACGGCAATGCATCCAAGTTAGACGCCGGGGAATGTTTAAAACGTGGACTCTTTCCAAATAAACTTGGGCGCACGCAGGACGGCACGTTACCCCGCCTGAACACCGCGCTGCAACTGGACGAAGACCGCCCCTCTCTCTAGGCGGCAAAAAAAGCCACTTTTAACGTATTTTCTCGTTCATCTCGTCGCCTCCCTGAAAGGCGGGCTGGGCCCGATCACGTGACCGCGCCGGCTCCGGGCGGAAGCGGCCGCCGGGCTGCGCTCCGGTGGGCGAGGGGGCGGGCCGCTGCCCGGCTGAAAGATGGCCGCCGCCGCCCGGCCGCCGTCGCCGCCCCGCAGGCTCCTCTAGGGCCCGCCGCCGCCGCGCCCGCCGCCCGCCGCCTGCCGCCGCCTTACCATGAGGCCGCTGAGTCGCCGCACGCTGGACTGGATTTACTCGGCGGTAGGTCCGGATCGGGCGGGGCCCCACGGCGTCCACTCCCCGGGCCCGCGGGCGGGAGGCCCCTATTTCTTCAGCGCCCAGAAATTCTAAAATCCATTCCTGAATTCAGCTTCTCACTCGCTCACCTCCGCTCCGCCTCTTCCTGGAGGACACGCTCTTCCGCTTCTTACGTAAGGGCTGCTCGCGGTCCTCGCTCCGGAGCCCCGTTTCTTCGAGTTTTCGATTCGCACCCTAGCAACGCGCTCGGCAACCTGATGGGGGCGGGAGGGGAGGACCCCTCACGTGACACGAAGTTTTTTGCTTTTACTCCCCCGCTTGCATTTTTCTTAGCTGCTCCTCGCGATTGTGTTGCTGTCCTGGGGGTACGTCATCTATGCATCGACAGTGGCTGCGCGACGACAGCTAAGGAAGGAATACCCACACAAAACCTTCGGATGAATGAAAATTTGTAATTCCTCTGGATATAATTCTCTGCAAATACAGTTCTTTTACCTCATGCTTATCTCACACGTCTCTAGATGTAAAATCCTTAATACAAAGTTGGCAAATTTATTTTCGTATAGTTTTTTATAATAACCACTAATACACCAATCTTTCAAATAGGGATGTCTTTTACACTCTCATATGACAAAACAAAGCAACCTAGATCTGACAGCCTTTGAGGATCACATCATAGATGGAATGACTGGCTTTTCAATCTAGTTTCTAAAATGTTTCTTAAATGCCTCAGAAAGCCTTCTTTAAAAGAAAAGTGTGTGGAGCTTGTTCTTATATTTATTTGTTGCAGCATTTCATTCTGCTGCATCGCTTCACATCAGACTAGATTAATTACTGCGTAAAGAAAAAATCTATCAAATCCTGTTTTCCAAGTCAAGAATGACCAGAAAAAGTAGGTGATTGCTTATATCATTTTTTTAGCATGCCCAGTTTTTACTTATTGTTAAATAATTCAGTCTCAAATTGTACAATGTTTGTGAAGAAATAGACAACATATCTGAGAGTAAACTTTATTAAAGTTACTTTTCCAGAAAATATATTCAGTAAATGTGGTAACGTAGCAACAAACTTGGGCTCATACACCTTTGAAATTTTAAAGTAACCTTCAATGATGTTGATCAGGAAAGTCTCTCATTGGTGGAATTACTTCTCCAGTCTCCAGAATCGTATCACCCTAGAAAAACAAAGATGCGTTAGAAAAATCTTCTCTGCAGAGGTGATAGTTCCACTTGGTCAGACCTCGCATGGAAAATCCAGTTCAGCTCTGGCACTCACACTTTAAAAGGGACTTACACAAAGTAGAGGCTGTGTGAAGATGAGAAACCAGTATTCAAAATCTTAAGGAATATGTAAAAGAATAAGGGAAGTTTCACTCAAACAAAATGACCAGAAAGGACATGAAAGGTGTCTTTACAAAGCAATGAAGGGATAATCTCTCTTTTGCACGGCCCCAAGAAACAGGAGAAGCCCCAGAAAGAAGCTGCAGGGAAATATTTTCAGTTGAATATAAGGAGGTAATGATCCCAGCAACTGAATGTGTTAGGCATCCAGTTTACCATTTGGCTCAGATTTGAGAGACAGAATGCAAACTTTCCCTGGGCAGCTGGTTCAGGTGTCTTTTCAAACATAGACAGAGTGTGTGTAGTAGAAAGGGCACGGGCTTTGTGGACAGAACCAAGTGGTGAGAACCAGAACCTCCAGTGACAAGCTGTATAATTTTAGGCAAATTACTTAGCTTTCATTTCACCTTTGTGTTTAACATAACAGATTCTGTCAGCCTGACGGCCCATGAATGACTGGGTAGAGTGGAATTACCCCCATCCCCACCTCTGCCCTTCCCTGACCTTGTTCCGCTCAGGACTGTGACCTGAGGAAGTAAACTTGTATTATGTTTAAGCCAATATACATGTGGCGCAAAATTTATTAGCACAGCTAGTATCCTAAGACAGAAATGAATAACGTGAAGTGGTACTAATGCTGCTGTAATAAAAAGTGAACCACATGGCAGTGGCTTAGCAGTCTGGCGGCAAGGACACTGGCAATGGAGGCTGAAAGATGGAAACAAAAGGCAGTGATGACTTGGAAGCACACGGTCTAATGAGCCTGAGGTTCTAGGAGAAGTAGCTGAGAAAAAGTATAGCGTGTGTTTAACTACTACTGGCTGCCTTGGGAATGTACTTTAAGAAGCAGGAGCTCAGGCAAGAAGTGGATGATTTCAGAGGAGAAATAAAAATGGAGAGGATCCAAAAATTCAGGACCTTGCAATATTGGAAAATCAGATTGCTTCTGAATCTCCAAAGAGTAAGAGTTAACACTGAAGAGATTCTGAGAAACAGAAGCCCAATAAAACTCAGTAAACAGAGGGATCAGCACTATGGCAAAGATCAGACAGAAGTGAAGGGCGCCTTTGAACCGTCTTTTTCAGATGGCCTCCACACAGCTGCCACTGAGTTGAGAGAGGCAGTCGCATGAGGACAAAGAAATGAGAGAACTTGGTGACTGTGTATAGAAAGCACAGATACTGGCATGCGGGACTGACCAGAGGCAAATAGCTTAGACTCCTACCAAGGATTTTTCTTTCCATACCTACCAAATGTTATGGGAATGAGATGGTCAAAGAAACCAAACATAGACGACAAAAGCCTGTGAATGTTTGAGCTTAACACCAGCTCTGGCACTCAACCTTCTGAGCAGGAGGCAGACTCTGAAGGCTAACCCTAAGGAGGGCATGCTTCCCAAAACTCATTTTAGATGGGGTCCCCCGAGACGTCCAGCCCTCTCTCCTTACTCTGATCTTGGAAGCCTCGTGTTCCAGATGGCATAATTATGAGATTGAGGAGG